TTGTCCCCGACAGAGGGAGGAATTCACTTTTCTGAAAATGAATACGAAGGCCCGAGAAAGTTTTAAAATGGGTTAAGATATCCTGAATGATTAGAGCAGGGGTAGCAAACATCTGGCCCTCCAGCTGTGGTGAAACTACAAATCCCATTATGCATCTCTCTTTGGGAGTCGTGGCTGTGAGAATCTTGCAATGCCTCATGGGATTTGTAGTTCCACCACAGCTGGAGGGCCAGTGGTTTGATACCCCTGGATTAGAGCATCTTCCCTGGGGCAGGTGGTGAACAGCAGAACATCATCTGCAAATAGTGCCAAACGGAGTTCTGCTGCGCCCACCTTAATGCCATGTAAAGCGGAGTTTGATATGCGAGCCGCCAGCGGCTCTAGGGACGAATTGAAAAGAGGAGATCAAGGGCAACCTTGTCTCGTTCCTTTTTCCAAAACAAAAGGCATTGACAATGCCGAAGAAAGATAAAACAGTCCCCCGAAATCCAAATTCTGTCAATACCTGAAACAACCATTTTCAGATTCACATTATCAAACGCTTTCTCAGTGTCAAGGGTGATGATGGCAGATTCTTGACGGATAAGAGTGTGCCTGTTCCAAAGCCAATAACACTTTCCATATGTTGGTCACGCCTGAGTGAACCTTTGACGAATTCCACCTTTTGATTGCTAAATCAGGGATGGCAGAATATCCGCTAACCTGTTTGCTACTATTTTAGAAAGGATTTTGGCATCCACATTTAGGAGCGAGACCCGTCTATACGAGCTGGGATTCGGCAATAACTTGATGTATGCCTCTTTTCCCCGTTGCCGAGTACCGAGAGCCTTCCCACAGTGAAAAGGGGTTCCACAATATCCGCCTGTAAAATTTTAAAGAATTCAGCTGTATAGCCGTCAGGTCCTTGAGCTTTTCCAGTGATATTTCCTCACGAGAAATGTCACCATTCAGAGATTGCAACTGATCACTGGACAGGAGAGGAAGGTGCACTGACGATAGAAAAGGGTTTGCCGCCTCACCATCAAATGCATCCTCAGAATTAAATTGATCTATAAAAGTCCTCCAATAGTTTATACATTTCCATTGGATCCATTGTTAAGGTTCCCACCAGAAATATGAGTAGGACGAAAGCGGCCTTTTGCTAATCTGGCTAAGCGTTTTCCAGCCTTGTTGCCATATTTATGCAACAGTGAGGTGTAATAAGAGGAGCTGGACAGTTCTAGTCTGTGTGCCCATAGGTCGAATTGACTCTTAACACTTTCCCAAACTGCTCGATTTTGAGTAGAAGTGTCAGACAATTGCAACCTTCCTCACCTCTCGTAAGGCCGCACTAGCTGTTTTATAAGCTTGCAACGTGTGCTTTTTATAAGCCGTTACGTATGACATTCGCCCTCTCATATAAGCCTCTGCCGTTTCCCAGAAAAGGGTTGGCGGTGACTCATGTTTGTTGAAAGACGAGTATTTCTCCCAAAATTAAGCCGAAAATCGTCATGTAAGCGAAGAGGGAAATCGCCACATGTGCACATTAGTAACACTCGGAGCAGCATTAACCGAAAGCGAGATGGGTGCATGATCCGAGATCACTGTATCATGTATGTCTGAGTCAGACACTCGTGATACCAGTTCAGATGAGCAGAAGAAATAATCCAAACGCACCAGGCAATCGTGCACCAGAGAAAGATGTGTGAAATTGGTGTCGAGGGTGAGCCAGTCTCCAAACATCTTGGAGATTGAGAGCCGTAACCATAGTGGCTAACGGAGATTGCCTGGTGAGTTTAGATCGTCTGGTTTTTGGCACAGTCCCCCGCGACCCAGCTTCTGTCTTCTGCCAGGGACATTGTTATACGAAAATCACCCCCTATCATGTGGAGAGGGGTACCGGTTTTTGAGAGCCACTGCATTAGATGGCAAAAGTCAGTCTTGGATGGTGAATTCTGTAAGTAGACATTGGTTATAGCTAGAGTGGATGTACCAATGGTGAGGGTAACACACCTGAAATTGAGTACTGTAGGTTTTTGTGAAATAGAATCACCACTCCTGCCCTACGACCCTTGGAGGGGGATCCCACAACTTCTTCTACCCAGAATTTACGTAAACTGATGAAGTCTTCCCTCCTGTAAATAGGTTTCTTGTAGCAATGCCATGTCGGCTTTCAATCGCTTCAGGTGTCGTAACACCTGATTGCGCTTCTGGGGGACACGAAGCCCCTTAACATTCCAAGAGATAACTCTCCTAAAAGGGTGTCATGGCGATGAGTAGGGAGAAGTTATACTCAATGAAATGGTTGCGATAATAAAATAAAGGGAATGGAACAGCAGCCATAACACCAATTAGCATGTGAAGCACCGCCCTCAGCAGTGGCCTAGTGGCAGGCTCTCAATGAAATGGTTGCGATAATAAAATAAAGGGAATGGAACAGCAGCCATAACACCAATTAGCATGTGAAGCACCGCCCTCAGCAGTGGCCTAGTGGCAGGCTATGCACAGGAGGACGCTAGAAAAGAAACCGTGAATTCGGAGGCACAGCAGCGCACAGCCCCCAGTCCCAGGAGCGGATGAAGTATACCAAAGAGGTATGCAAGCAATGTAATATGTGTAACAACATTTAACAGAACCTTAAAAATAACAGAAAACATAATAAACAGTGTCACTGACTTTGCAATTTCCCAATGTATGCAATGTGGGGAGTTGCTCAAACTGCATGTCCCCAGCACCACCTACATTTAATGCAGATATCTGAACAGGCCCCGAGGCCATCCATTGGAGGCTGTAGAGAAAACAATTAACAGTGTACAGCACCGCGAGATGTCAAACTCACAGGTAGTACCATAAGTCCCAACCATTCCTATGAATAGACATAAGGCAGAATTAGGAGAATCACATCAAGAGTGATGCTTATCCCAATGCAGTATGGTTAAAAAGATGGCCGGGTCAGGGTTTTACGGTATTTTCTTGGTGTATCCCCTTGTTTCTTGAGGGATTTCGGAAGCTTGAAAGGCGATCGCGGAGGTTGTGGTGGTTTGGAGGGAGACCCCGAGTCCTGTGAGACTGTTCAAGGCAGTCAAAGCCTCCACTGGGTCTTGAAAAAACAGGTGCTGGCCCGAGCTGGAAGGGATGTGGAGTGTAGCAGGATAAGCCAATGTAAATTGTATTTGTCGCCGCACGAGGGTGGAACATATCTCACTGAATGCCTTTTTAGTTTCATAATTGAGACATTGCACGATCACGTGCAAGGGGTGGCACCCTTTTGCCTGGGAGGGCCCAGGCGGCGCACCCGATCCACTAGGCAGGGCGTCTGTATACCCAATGTCTCTGGTATATCGATTGTACAGAACTTACCCAGCACTGTGGGCTTGTACGTTTCTGCCACGCCCACAATCCTGAGGTAATTTCTCCTGGAGCGGTTTTCCAGATCATCAATTTTAGCTTGCATGGATTGCTGCGTATGAACATAATTGGAGGAAATGCGGTGCTCTGCTGCAGATATGTCCTTTCTGATCTGAGACAACCCATGCTGGATCGCCGATTCCGCCGCCGCTATGGTAGGCTTTAGCAGTTTAGCCACTGCAGCAGCAATGCAGGCGTGACGGGAATCCTCGTCCTGGTCGTCTAGCGACGAAGCGGGCGAAGGCCTGCGGTGGCTCTGCCCTTGAGCAGGGTCCACCTTCTTGTATGCACCGTACCCAGACTATCTTGTGTGTGGGATCACGGCGTTTTCGGGCCAGGAAACGGTCCATACATTGTCTCTTCCTGCACCCGTAAACTGCAAAGAAGCATCGGGAAGGCTGTCGGAGCTAATTTTTTATAAGGTTGACATGGGGAGGGGGAGCGCCGTCTCCCCGCTGCGCTTCACATGGGCGCCGGAACCAGAAGTCCCTCAGACCATTTTTTATACTTATGGTCTAAAGCAGGGGTAAGCAAATTCTGGCAGCCTCCCGCTGTGGTGAAACTACAAATCCCATCACACTTCTGCCTCGGAGTCATGCCTGTGGCTGTTAGTCTTGCTATGCATTATGGGATTTGTAGTTGCACAACAGTTGGAGGGCCAGAGTTTGCATACCCCTGGTCTAAAAGGATGAGTCCCCCCGGTTTCCTATGTAAGCTTATTTTTTTAGCCTTGTGAGCACTTCTTGGGATTTTTGCATCACACTTTTGTTTCTTAGATCTTGGACACAAAGTTTTGCAGGCAGCATTGTGAGTTATCCACAGTTTTTTGTGTTTTTTGTTTGGTTTTTTTTCTCGTACAAGTACAAACCTTCTGTTTTCTCTATTATACATTGAGGGACACAGGATTTCTGGACAACTGAGAAGGAAAAAGAAGTCCAGCTAGAAGTGTGGGCAACCCAGTTTTAATAGGTCCAATGAGATAGAGATGGAGAAAATGATGTTTGTTAATTTCATTAAATCCCTTTTACCAAATCCATTGAGGGACACAGATCCCTCCTTCCCTTGTGCTTGTGACCATCTGCTTTTAGTGCTGCTTGTGACAAACTGAGCAATGTTGATGTAGGCCCCCTTTCTAAAGTACAGTCCTGTTGTTGTAGGTGGCAGGATAACCCAGTTTTAAAAGAATCCTGTGTCCCTCAATGGATTTTAAAAGAATTCCAATGACTACTTGCTAGTTCCTGAGTGCAGTGTAGCCTGGAAATGATCCTCTTTTTTTTTTTTTTTGTTAAATTAATCCTGCTTGGTGTTCTGGATATACTGAAATAACATATGAGCTTTAATGACACATTACCATTGTCCTTACATTTTTAAGTTTTTTTTTTTTATGGGGCATTGATCCCCAAAAACCAAACCTAACACCTGAAGGTCAGGTGAGTTTGCTTTGCCCATGTATGCTTATTGTTGTATTGCAAAAAACACACACCAATGTAGCCTGAAATACTCTTAATGCTTTAATGGCATGTACGTATGTTATATGTTAATGTATAATTCTCTTTTGCTGTGGTTAGTGAGCTTGCATTGTGTCTTACACTATGTGGTGTGCGCTTTCGCAGTATGGTCGTTGTATTCGTGCCGCTGTCCGTCTGGAGAAAGGTCTTTCGTCACTTGCTGATCACCTCACCCATGAGAATGAGCGTGTTGTACGTGCCATTTGTGGGGCTCTGCGAAATCTTTGTGGAGACAATCGGAACAGAGAGCTGATTGGTGAGGCAGTTGTCTTGTGAATCTTGTAATTATTAATGTGTGTTCGTAGCTGGGGTGGGTAGAACATGACAGAACAATTGATTTCGGGAGTGAATGAGTTATAAAGTAAAATAAATATTGAAATCAGATTTCTGGCTTATTTTTTTATTTTGTGGAACCCTTTGCAGGTAAACATGCTCTTAGCAGTTTGGTTGCTCGCCTGCCTAGCTCTTCTCCGCAGTCAAATACAGTTTCAGAAGATACAACTGTGGCAGTGCTTAGCACCATCCAGGAAGTTATCACCGGAAATTTGGAGGCGGCTAAGAAGCTGCGGGAGAGCCAAGGAATTGAAAGGCTTGTTCTCATCAACAAAGGAGGGTAAGAGTCTCTCATAGGATTTGCCTTTCACTTTAATGACAGAATTTGGGGGGATTCTTACATAAGTATATTATGTATGTTTTTCCCTGAACTAAGTCCGCAAAAAGGTCAGTAAAACATAATACTTAAGTATGTTATGTTTTACTGACCTAACTTCCTTTTTGCGGTTTTGCATTTCTGATTGTTAATTAGGTGGCCAAGCATCGAAGTTGCAAAGGACACCTGTTGCTTTTGTTAAGTTTATTATTTGTATTATTATTCCGCCGCTTTTTCAAATGCATGTAATAGGTGCTATGTTGGTCAAAAACTCATGAAACTTTGCACAATGGTAGAGCCCTATGCGCTGCAGAACTTATTGCACTATAAAGGTCATAGGTCACACAATCTGGTAGCCACCTTGGTTTTTGCAACAATTTTTGCAAATATTCAGAAACCCATTTGTCCAGAACCGCTAAAGCTACAGATGTACAAATTGCTGTGTGAGGTTATGTTTTGCTCTGTTGTCACAGGTGTTCATTATATGTCTATTGGTCACAAGGTTTGACAGCCATATTGGATTATGCAATATTCTGCAAGCAACTTCATCTCTGAGGTCCCAGTCACGCCATAAAGAGTGCGTTCGGCCTCGAACGCCGGCTCATATTGTTTTGGGGTGGGAGGGGTCGTGGCGGTGCATTGAAGTAAATGGCACCGCAGCCACGCCCCTCGCCTGCAGTGTGATTGCTGGCACCCCAACGCGTGGCACATTAGTGCCTGTCATCTGCAAAAAATAGTGCATTCATTATGATGTAACTGGGCCCTGAAACCATATATCAGAATTATTCAAAACTTTGCAGGTATTTCCAGGTACCACATTTGTAAAAACGGAGCCAATCCCAAAATCAAAATGGCCGCTGCAAGTCAATGGTATTTAAACAGTGTTATTATTATGGCCTTTTTTCAAATGCCTGTAATAAGCACACTGTTACTCAAAAACTCATGCAACTTCGCCCAATGGTAGAGTTCTATGCTATGCCTAATCTTTTGCATAATAAAGGTCATAGGTCACATTGCCTGGCAACCATCTTGTTTTAGGTGAAGATATTCAGCTCCATATTCAAACATCCGTTTCTCAGCAACGAATAAAGCTTCAGATGTACAAATTGCTGTGTAAAGTTATGTTGTGATCTACGCTCAGAACTGATCATTACAAGTCAATTGACCACATAGTTTGGCGGCCATATTGAATTGTCTAAAATTCTAGAAATATTCCTATTATTCTGATGTTCCTTTATTCAAATGCTAATTATAATCACACTGTTATGTAAAAATTCATGCAATTTTGCACAATGGTAGACAACAGTGCTGTGTTTAATCCTTGGCAACATAAAGGTCATAGGTAACATGCTCTGGCAGCCATCTTGGTTTTAGCAAACTTATTTTAGACAATTTTCAAACTGTTTATTTCATAACCGCTAAAACTACAGATATACAAATTATGTGAGGCTATGCTGAGCTCTACAGTCATATATGTTCATTACAAGTCATTTTGACCACATGGTTTGGTCAGCCATTTTGGATTGTGCAATATTCTGCAAGCTACTTGATCTCTGAAACCTTTTATCAGAATAATTCAAAAGTTTGCACATATGTCCAGGGCTACCTCTTCTACCACGGTTGTAAAAACAGGTCCAATCCCAAAATCAATATGGCCGCCACAAGCCAATCACTTTTAACATGGCAGCAAATTGCATAAATGTGCATTTCTATCACTATTGAAGTATATTAAACTTGTTATACATATGATAACGCCAAATCCTAACTGCCAAATGCAATATGGGTTCCAAATGTCATCAAGCTCGGTGGCCATTTTGAATTAAAAAATGTTTTATAATTTATAAAAACATGTCTTGCTATTTAACTCTAACTACAATATCTTCTCATGTGCTATAACCAGGCTCTAATGCTTGGCCACCTTTATCGCTGCTTGCAGCTATATTTCATTTTGTATTTACTTTGCAGACATAATACATCTGACTTATATGATTTGTTTTTTCCTTTTTACAGAGGGCGTTCTGATCGAGAGATTCGTACAGCTGGTTTCTGCCTTCAGACTGTATGGGGATTTAAAGAGCTTAGACGACCTTTGGAAAAAGAAGGATGGAAAAAAAGTGATTTCCAGGTAAAATTGTCAACCTGTGCCTAGAATATTCTGAACAAGCGTTAAAGCTCCTTATTACAATCCAGCATTTACCTATGTAGCAATAAGTATTGTGGAAAAGTTTGTAAGAGAGCCACTGATATCACAGCTGCTTCCATCTTTTTGTGGAAATTCTCATCTGGGATTCCTGCTGAGTTGTTGGTTCCAAGCCTAGATCTTCTGGAAAAAACTAAACTGCCTTCCTCAGCCACAATCATTAGAAGTTATTGTTGTGAATGACTCCAGGTGCACAAGGATTCTGATGGGATGATCATCTTCCCTCTCTATGCTCCGGTGCATTAAGGTTTGCACTCCCTTGTACAGTTTGGCTGTGTTTGTCATTCATTTCACTTGTATTAGTCTTCAACATATGGTCCACTGCATGTGCAGGGGTTGGTTGGAGTCACAGATTTATTTTCTGGCATCCAATCCCTGTCTCGTGTGGGAAACTTCGATTTCAGTCTCAAGTCCTTCCCCCATGCTTTAGTTGGGGAACCAGAATACTAAAGCAAGTGACTATAGGAAAGCTGTTGACCCTGTGGAATCCCTTACTTGCGGTCCTAGACTCAGTTTTCTTCCTTTTCATAGATTCGAGCATTTTTGTGACATTTTCCAGTTGCTAGTTGTTTGCTTTGCTTGTTGTTCCTGCTCATCCTTTGACAATTTGTTTTCATAGTTTCCCGCTTGCATCTGGTTTTTTCACTCTTACTTTCGGAGATCAGGACAAACTCTTCTTTATTCCAGGAAGGGGGAGTTTCACCTGTTTTTTTTTTTGTTTTTTTTAAAGCAAGCTTATTCCTCACTCCTCTGGCAGCTAGCTACTTCCATACAATGCAGGACTTGCTCCTGCATTGTACAAGATAATGCCAGAGAGCTGCGACCAGGCAGCAAAAGGAAGAGTCTTCAGGGAACCAGTTAACCCTTGCAGTGAGGAAGGGCAAAAACAAGCAGTTAACCCCTGCAGTGGGGAAGGGACCCATTACAAGAAAAAACAAAACATCCGTCTGCACCAAAACAGTCAACAACATAAAATCTCTATTCACATGCGACACAGACCATGTGATATATCTTCTAGAATGCCCCCGTAACCCAGAAACTAAGATCGAGATTTGGTCCACACCGAAGGAATGTACAAAAAGGATTTCTAGACCACACTCTCTAAACATTTTCCCTTTCACACAAATGTGTGGAAAACCAGAAAGTCACCCCAATAAAACATATTTCCATGTCTGATAAATACGACAGATTCTGCAAATTACAAGCTAGAGAAGCCTTCTGGATGAAAACAATCCACCCCGATGGGCTAAATAAACATGTCCCCTGAATTACCACTAGTCAAAATCTGTGCTGAACCCGTAACCAACATTGACTACACCAGCATCAACACACCAAGCCAAAGGCACCTCTGCAATCTTTTTTGCCTTTCTATAGAATTACTTGAAGACCATTTCCACCTTTTACGGAGGCATTTAACCCCTTCACGACTGAGCTTGTATTTAGTTTCTGTTCGTAAATGACACACTTTCGACATTTTTGCTGTGATTGCTGTGATTCAGTAATACTTTCTTACAAAGTGCACCCACACATTATATATTGTTTTTGAGAGGACTGATAGGTACACGTGTGATATAAATATATAGCCCTAACGCCTCACTTAGGACAAATAAAATATAAAAGAGGAAAAAAACGTAAAGAACACACTTTTTCCCCAGTTTTGATTTGTAGTATTTTTTAGTAGGGCTGTGCAAATTAACGATTCATTTCTCGATTAATCGTTAATCTTTTTGATCGATTTAAAATGTTTTTGAAACTTCCTGCACGAGCGCCAGCCAAGGAATTGGCCTATACACATACAGCACAGCAATGAAGTAATAACATGAACTAGGAACACACTACTCCAGCACGTTATTATTCTGAGTTGCCCCACTCAAGCGGCGGCCATATTGAGTGGGGCACGTGAGATTAATAACGTGCTGGATTAGTGTGATCCTAGTTCATTTTATTACTTCATTGCTGTGCTGTATGTGTATAGGCCAATGTAGTTGGATCTGTATGTGCGTTATAATTAATCGAAATTAATAGATTCATCGATTAAAAATAATTTCGATTAATCGAACACGAAAATTTTAATCAGTAACAGCCCTATTTTTTAGGGGGAAAAAACACAGCTAAAAAAAATGCATTAAATACATTTATTTATTTGGAAAAACCTCACAACCCAACCCTTTTAGAAATTGACTTTGAACATCACTGTCATGAGAGGGTTAAATTAAAAAAAAAATTAACCCTCTGGATGAAAAACAAATCTGCAGCTCAGCTGCAGATTTTCATTGTAATGGGTTATTTATATTAAAGGTAAAAAAATATATTTAAATATATCATTTTTATTTGTTACATTTTTTATTTTTTTACACTTAATTTTATTTTGTACTCTTTCACTATTTTTTTAAACATTCTTTTTCATTTTTATTTATTCACAATGACTGCTTGATATAAGTTATCTCACGATTACTGCTTGATAATTTAATACATTTTTGGTTATTAGGCTGATTCAAACTTAAGAACAGCCTATAATAACCTTAGTGATGCTGATCCTGCAGTATTTCAGGATCAGATGCCACCTAAAGGTTTTCTGATCGTTCCAACAACTATCAAACCTGCAACATTCTTTCAGCAATAGAGACATGTAGCTAAATGTTTCTATTGCTGAAAGTTTCGAAAAAAAGCCGTTATACATCGGGATTTCCCGATCTATACCAGCTGTCAGTGATCGCTAGAGCTGTAAATGCGGCTCTGCTATCGCTGTCAGACACCCGATTCCTGAAAGGTGTAGGGCGTGGAAAGCACCTTTTTTCCCACAATGCCTTGCTAAAGCATGGGGAGTGTGTGTGTGTGTGTGTCTGCGCCACATCAAGGCTGAAAAAGCCCTGATGGGGCGGAGTGGTGGATTTGGATGGAATGCCAAGGAGACTGTGGAAGGCATGTAAAGGGAAGCAGAAAATGTGGTGGAAGGGCCAACTAAATATGAAATAAAGAGAATACGGCTCCTGTATACAATCTAAGAGCGATTGTTGACCACAATATAGCTGGTCCTAACCATGTGGTGAGTGCGAAGTGTGACTTGCACAGGGGTGTATCACAAAGGATTTTGCTTCAGAGCACAATTGAAGATCATTGATCGGGGCTGATGTGAACTTTAGTTCCTAAACTTTTTTTCGTCAAGGATGAGTTTGTTCAAGAACACAATTGATGATTGTCTGGGAGACTGATGTGAATTGTATTTCCCAACTATATATATCTCTATAGATATATCTCAATATATATCTATATATAGATATATATATTATGGGCGGATTTATTAGGGACTGAGTTGAGAGTACAGTATGGATACTGCTTCCCTATTTATAATGGTCTGGCCCTCTAGCAACTTCAGCGCGAAATTATAGCTAATTTGCCTACAAATGTCCGTTGGTCATGATAATCTGGCCACTCTGTGTATATACTTTTTTACATGGTGGATTGCTTCTGTATATTTAACCACTTCCAGCGGGTTCACGTAAATGTAAGTCATCCGCTGGAAGTGTTTATACCAAGAACACTGCTGCTGCAGACGTGTTCTTGGTACTGTTATATACAGCCGTCGATTCCGGTTTAAATACAAGCGATCCGGCGTCTATACAGGCGCCGGATCACTTGTATGGTGCGGCGCCGTGTCCGCCCCCCTCCCCTGCCGCCGTCAGCTTCCCGGGCTCCGCTGTCCCCCGTGAGATCCCGGGATCGGCATGGTGGGTCTTCCTTGATGAATCAGAGGGAGATCAGCAGGCTTTCAGCCGCTGATCTCTCCTCCGATCACTGGACCCGGAAGTAATGTGCATTACATCACTTCTGGTGTCACTGTACACATTCTCTGACTCCTAGAGCCAGAAGGAAAAGCTGGTGAAGCAGATCTCTGCTTCATCAGCTTCTTTGGGGTCCCTAGGTGACATTAGGGGGTTGATTTACTAACCTTATAAACACGCCACGACCAAGTATACACCTCTGTAGTGTGTTCCCTCCCAGCATGATCTATTGGTGGAATCTAGACACCTTTGTAGTGTGTACACACCCAGCAGGTGTGTTGTGCACAGCCCTGCATGAATTGCAAGGTGATGTTGTGTAAATTAGCTCTACATTGTGTTGCTTGCGTTGATGAATGCAGGAATGTAAATGCATGAGCTAACCATTTTTGTCTAAACTGTGAAGCAGCATTATATATGCATCATGTGCATGATTTTTCCATATATGGCATTAGTGGAAATGTGCTTTTAGATCCTTTTTGGTTGATAAATACGTTTTGCTGTGTAGAAATCACACGCACCTAGTGCGTGCGTGTGTTTTAGGTTAGTAAGACCCCAGGGGTCTGAAAGACCTGTGATGTCTCTATAAAGAGGACCTGTCACATTATATTTGCTATTACATGGGCTTATTAGGCGCTGTGAATCACATTATATACAAATTGTCCTGGGGTTAGTGCAGAGTGACCTGGAAATGTATGTATTTTTTTAACCTATGACTGCGGTTAATAGTTTATAATCATAGTGGCAACACCCCTTGGACAATGCAAAGTGACCTGAAGATTTATTTATTTTTAATCTGTGACTATAGTTAGTGGAATGTTCTGAGCAATTGCTGGAGACAAAATATAACTGATTTCTTTAGCAATCACTTACAATCCTCCAACTGTAGTGATAGGTAAAAAATCTCAAGGTCACTCAGATGGTTTTGACAAGCTATACTGTGGTCAATAATCACTCTTGGGTTGTATACAGGAGCCTTATTCCCTTTCATATTTATTTGGACCTTTTTCACCACTTTTTCTGCTTCCCTTTACATGCCTCCCACAGTCTCTTTGGCACTCCGTCCAAATCCACCACTCTGCCCTGTCAGGATTGAAAAGCACACACACATGCTCCCCATAGTATAGCCTTCATTTAAAAATCTTT